AGAACAAGGAAGAGTTCATGTAATGTGAAGTATGTTTCATGTCCTACCTGAGCATGTCTTTCCAAACGTAACACCACTAGTGGTATAATGAAGCACTAATTGAACACAGATGGAAAGCTCTAAATAAGACAGGGATTGGACAAAAAGACACATTCCTTAAATATTCCCCACGTTTCCCAGCCAGAGGTGAGAAAAGAAGAGTCTCTTACACAGCATTAGCTGGAAGCTTTATTGGGAACATGGGAGAGTCTGGTCCAATTTCTTCAGCTGCCTAAGGGACTCAAGCTGGCACTTGATTTTGATTGTTTAAATTAATCCCAGGCTGCAGGGTCCTTAAGGGCTGGGCTCACTCTGTCATTTCCCAGGTGAGAATGGATGACCCCCATCAGGCTCTTAACTCACAGGGAGAACAGGCTTCCCTAACCCTGAAAGACTTCTTCTTCTAGGTAGCCAGCCCCAAAATTCATGTTGCATGCCTTAGGAAGCCAAAGAGCGGGGGATGAATGGAGGCACCAGCTCCTGAAGGCCACAGCACTCGCTGGAAGCAGCTGAGCAAAGCCAGGCTGCCTTTCAAGGATTCTGCAGCTTCAGTATCAGAAGTTCCTACTCTCCCCACACAAATCACTCACAAGCAGTAAGCTGGCCACCCTTGCCCTTAGGTATGCATGCACATTCAGAGGCTCTCCCCTGGCCCAGCAAACACCTGGTTACTGAACATAAGAAGGAAAAAGTTTGACAGGTAGAGGAAATTTCCTGGGGGGTATCCCACAGTGAGAACTGGCAAGGGAACCAAGAGGGAGATACCTCATGTGGGGCCTAGCAGAGCCAGGTACCAGCTGCTCACTGCATTGCAATAGCACTGCAAGCCTAGAGGAAATCTAGCTGGTAAGAAGAATACCTTGGGATTTTAGGCTCAGGCTGAGGGACAGCTCCAGCTGGGATTAGTCTCCGGCTGCTTTGTAGCAGGTGGATAAAACAGGGGTGGTGGAGAGTTATTTCTAGCCCCTTTTGCTGATTGCAAACAGCTTTTTCAGCAGAATGAACTAAACACAAAGGATTTTGCCCTGTAACAGGGCATTCAAGAGTTGTCAAGCAGTTGTAGCAGAGCACAGCCAGGCCCAGATTGTTCCTTCAATCTGTGAGGGAAGTATGTTTATTTTGCAAGACAGGAGAGATGTGCTCGATTGGTTTTCTAACTCCCACCCTAAGGAAGGCTGTGTATCACCATTCTGTTTCTTCACAGGTGTAATCATCTGCTTCATCTCTTCATGTTGAAAAAAGTTGCTGCAAGGAGCAGCTTGGTGCATCTTACATTTTAGATCCTCAACACAGTCAGCAAACTGCTCCTCCCTCCACACATTAGGCTGCCCAGAACAATGTTTCCCAAACAGCCCAGGCTTCACCTACAGTACTCCTTGGAAGATGCTGTCCCACAGCCCCAGGCAAGCCTGAGTATCTCTGCAAACACAGAGCTTGCTAATGAATGGCCCCCAGTTGTCTCGGGTCTAACTCTGGAGTGAGCTACAGCAGAAAGGAAGCCCAGTTTTACAAGAGGATGCATCTCTGAGCAACAGATGGGATCAGATGGGCAGTCTTTGTCCTCATCACTGGTCTTCCCATCATAAGGGAAAAAAACATCCCAAGTTTCAGAGTTTTCCCTCCAAGGACCTCCGAAATTCATTAGCAGCCAAGGAATAGAGGGAATTCTCCATTTGAGGTCCTTTCAGAATGAGACAGTACAACATTGTTAATGCAGGAAATCACAGAAAACACATTTTTCTGTAAGCAGGAGGCCACTGTTTACTGCAGGAAGGTTTACATGAAAGTTCTATTCAAGGTCTTCACATAAAGGGTTAATAATCATCACATAAATGTTTACACGTGTTAGTAAACACATAAGCTAACATACAAATTGTTTATATACCTATCCATAATACCTACTTTTATCTGACTTTTATTACATGCTTCTCACATCCGCGACAAGCTTATGAAGAGCCATTCAACAATTTAATCTTTGATACAGATTAAGGACGACCTAAATTTTTTTCTGCATCTCATGTGCTCTCTCGGGACAAAGGTTTTATTCAGAGAGCTCTGGTTCCTATAGGTGGCCTCTGTGCCCAAAGGGGCTGCTGCACAGCTCGGGTATCCGCCTGCATGAATGCAGACACAGCTTGAGAATCTGCTCCATGTGAGCTCAGGACTGCCTGCACCCACCTGGGCAGAGATGCTCCAACATCCCTTTCTTTTCCTTTCAGCCACAGACATCAAATAAACAAAACCAAACCAACAAACAAAAAAAAACACAACAAAAATCAACACGAACACCACACTCTGTAACTGTTCATGTTTCAGGAAGATTCCGGCAAAGCATTTTGGGACTTGTAGTTTTCTGGGCTCTCACGCATGCTCAATGAAATACTATGTCATTGGTTGAAAGGTCATGTGACACGATTTAAACACTATTTAAACTGATGCCCTTTGTAATAAACTTAATTCTGCTCTCGCACCCCTCGGTGTGAGTAGTGGGGTTCGTGCAAAACAAGCACCTCAACACTCCTTTCTCTCTTCGTCTCAGCTGCCTTGATGCCTCAGCAAGCAGAACATCAGGGCAAAGTAGGAGAGAGCACGTGCAGAAAGAGACAGAGGGCAAACAGATCACACAAAGAGAAATAAAACACAAAACAGAAAGTGTAACAGACAAGATTAGCAGCAAAAGAGATCAGAGCAAACTCAGGAGACAGGCACTCATGAGCTTGACAGGTGAAGCGATGAGAGGAGCCAGTACTTGACTGTGAGTTTCCGTAGGTACTGTGATGCTCTCATTCCCATCCAAATGGCTGCCACACGAATGCCTTCTCTGTGCCTCTCTGTTTACATTTGCTGAGACAAGGATGCGGCAGCTCCCAGCCCAGGACAACAGGCAGCCTTTAAAAACCCAGCGATAACCTGGCGAGACCACGGAGGGCAGCTCTGACAGATGGGCAGGGCTGGATTTGGCTGCACGGGCTCTCACTGTTCCTGCTGCCGCTCACAGCCCAGCACATTAGTGTAAGCTGCCCTCCGTGGGTTCACCACTTTAGCCATCACATAATCCTGAGGATTAAGCAGCAAACAGAGTGCCTGCTCAGCAAAGGTCTGAAAAAGGTTATGTGAGGTACAGAAGAGGGAACCAGGGGAGGACAGTGTGATACAGGGGACCAGCAGCTGGGCAGCAGTGAGAATCCCATTTACAAAGCCCATAAGCTTCAGATGCATCAGGGAGATGATGAGATTCCAGCTGTGTAAAGATGGAATTCATCTTACCAGATGTAAACGCCAAAACAAGAGTTAATCCCCAAGACTGCCTGTGCCATTCATGGAAAGAAACAAGCATTTGTAAGGCACCTTCCATCCATTTGGAAGCTGTTGTCTGACACTGACCAAACGAGCTATCTCTTCCCCTTCATCAGCTCTAATAGGAACCTGACTTTACCAGCCCAGATACAAATTTCTCTGTCATAAGCATGGAAACTTAGATGAGAGGAATCCCAGGATAACTCACACATGACACTTGCTTGTCATGCTACCGCATGCCTGCTCCATTCCAGCAGCTCTTTGCCCAAGATGAATAACTATCCTTTTGACAGTGATATTTAAAAATGTGTCTTCTGTACCATGTCAATCAAGTCTGAGGGCAGTAGCTTTATGAAGTAATTAACAACTGTTTGGTGAAATTATTCATTTAGTTTTAAGGGCAATGTTATTTGTCATATACTTGTCCTAATTAAGATCAACACCAAGGAAATGTGGCTGCTATGTGGGAAATTACTCTTCTTGCAGACAGTACCAGAAGCCTCTTGAAAAGTGAAGACTTAGCAACAAGTGCCTGATTTTTAGAAAAAGTCTAGCAGATAGCAGGGGGGGAGCTGGGGGAGGTGTTCTTATGGACTTCCAAGGAAGAACAATCCACCCTTTCAGGAATCTGTACCCAAAGCATCATGCAGAGAGGCTGTACACATGCTGAAAGCTCAGCTAACAACACATACAATCGTGCTACAGCACTGACCCGCTGCTTCCACACCTCAAATCCCATTCCAAGGCATCAGCACCACAAGTAGAGCTAACAACAAAACCAGGCATTAGCAGTGTTCAGCTCTGTGGAGGGAGCCACAGCTCTGTAATGTAAGATGAGGCTAATAATATTTTTTGGACACATGGGTCTGGGTAACACAAATGACATGATGATGAGTCAGTTTAATTATAAACTTCCTGTTACAAATATCAAGGTTCCTCTGATGGCACTGACAATTGTTCTTCTGACTCATCCAGCTGTTCCTGTAACCTGGCAAAACAAAACCTTCTTTGACCTTTAAGGTATAAATAATTAAAGAAACCATTATTTTGAAAGAGTACCTGGCAATTCATAGTTGCTGGAACACCATAGTGACATGCAGAGAGAAATACAGCATTCTGTCTAGGGACAGAGCTTTTATCACAATCTCCACTCCCTGAAAGACAGCACAAAAACATCTATCCATCCCACATGTGGAAGAGGCACATTAACTTCCCACCCATACATGCTTCCAAGCAAGATTATCCTACATGGCCAGATAGATCATTGCTAGTCGAGGGTGAATCAGAAGTCCACACTCTCCAGGCCACTCTTACAAGGCCAGTAGTTCAGAAAGTCTTGCTCGTTTGACACACAGACTTGAATTTTCCTGCAAGTTAGTTCTACCTTAAAGCACAGAAGCCCAGCAGGAAAAATGTAAGGGCACTACACCCCTTTCCATCTCAAAGCCTGACCCTTATGCATGAGAACAGGACCCTTGTCCTCGGGCCAAGGGGGAAAAGATATTAATGATAAACAGAGGAACAGGAGGACAGGTCAGCCCACAGCTAAACAATTCTGAGCCTCTCCTCTCCCTAAGCAGAGCTTCCAGCACAAAGAGAGAAATGGCCTCCTTACCAGAAGGCTCTGTAGGCTCCCAAAAAAAAAAATCATATTTTTAACTTACATCTCAGGAGGTCTCGAACATGATTTGCTTCAGGATCAAGTGGACTCCCACAGCACACAGCAGAGCATCACCCCAAGCTCCTGGGATGCATTAAGGCAGCAGTCAATTAATTAGGGTAGGGTTTGCAAGAACCTCACAGCCTTCTCTCTCAGACAATACAGAGTGGAACCATTCACTTCAGCAAAGGCAGGATCAAGTTATTTGTGGTTCATGGTAGCCCACTTGTTCCTCTTGATGAGGTTTTTGTCTCCCTTTGGCACAAACAACTTGAAAAGCCTCTGAACCTAGTTCCCAAGTCCTACATAACTGTGGGACTTCCTTTCCAATCTCCCTTTGGCGAACTTTAAAATGTCACATGGGGCATTAAAAGCCCCTCTAATATACACGCTCCATTATGACTTCAGGACCTATTTTTTTCCATCATTCTGTCTTCTATTTTATTTAAGAACTTGATTTTGGGAGGCACAAAAGGCCTGATTTGCAAAGATGCTGTGATTGAATGGGGAGGGGAGGAACACAGATGTACAGCTCTTCTGAAAATCACATCTCACACTGTGAAACCAAAGACCGAAAAATTACCAGCGAGAATTCTATTTTTAGCTATCCTGTGTCACAATATTCACTGTTCCCAAGCAAACTTTCTGGCAAATATTTAGAGCAAGACTCACAACCCCATGCTTTGTCAACAAAGCACAGTGATTACCTAGAGCGGCTGTAGGTGCAGTACCTGCAGCACTGCATCACTTCACCCCGTTACCATGGCACTTTTGGTTGGATTTTTCCTGTTTGCATGTATAGGAAGCGAGATAAATCTACTATGTTTTTAATATGTGATAAGCAGGGCACAACTGACCTCCAAATAAAACAGCTTAAAGGGCTCACCTAAGCCCAGGGAAACTGAGTTTTCACACCAGGCGTTGTGGCACCTCTGAAGCGCACGTGCCCGCTGCTGGAGAACTTTTCCTGGAGAGGTGTTGGTGCAAGTCACACTCGGAGGCAGATGCTGCTGTGCTCAGATGTGGTAAGGCTGCAGCAGGAGGAGCTGAGGTTGGGTACTCACTGCAGCCAGCTCCATCCCCTGCAGCCAGATTCCCAGCATCACTCTGTGCTGGCAGCTGTATGAACAGAGGTTTGGTCCTCAAAACCACCCAGCTAAACACAGCACAGGGAACACCCTGCAGGTCAGAAGATGTAACCTCTCAGTTTATGGCACTGTCCATTTTAAATGAACTACCAGCACAGCAACACATGGTTTCCATGGTAAGTCAGATGCACCCACCTTCCACCTGAGTTAAGTATCACCAAGTGCTTTGTTCAGTGTATAGGGAGGGCGGGCATGCACCCATGTTTAGGCCTAATAAAACCCACCTTTAACCCCCAATCCTCAATTCACTGTGTGATTGCACCAACATAAATTATTCTTTGACTAACACTACCCTGAACTGAGAACTAACCCCAAAGAGAGGATCTGTAGGACAAAATGAAGAGCCCCTCTCTGCTCTCTTCTCATCACACCCCATTAAATCCACCTTTCTGCTTGGACTGTTTTTATCTGCTGAAGGGTGCAAGGAGAGCCATGACCAGAAAGGGCACCTAGAGAGATGGGCGCAAGAGAGCACTAACAGAAGTCTGGCATTCACTAAAACACATCTACTAGAAAACGATTCCCATCCTCAGCTGTCGTGTTGCCTGGCGAATCAGCACATATGATGCACTTCCGTGTGGTCCCATGTCTGTGAGGTTGTAAGAAAAGCACCTGTGCTGCAGAACAGGCAGCTCCCTGGAGGAACACAGTAGCCTGTACCACACTGAAGGAGCAAGTCTGCTACGAAATTTTCTGCAGAGCAGGATTTCCACATGTGCAAATCTTGCCCTGCACTCAGTAAACAAATGAATGTGGACCGTACTCATATTCACATAGGGAGGGAAAGCTCCTGTAGCCCAGCTCTCCCCCAGGTGTGACAGTCACTTGGCACTTCATACACAGCCAGTGTTTGGCAATGTCACCTGAACTGCTGGAGCAGCTGTTGCTTTCTTTACTAAGGAGCCCCCCTGGTGACAGCCAGATGTACTGCTTGCAACACGGAACGTGATTCAGCACAAATTGCTCCAAAAGATTTTTGATTAACTGCTGTGGCAGGGGCCTAACTCAAAGAGCAATAACATTTGAGCCAGCAGAGTAACAGCGTGTGTACAGGTAAGAGGAGGGGGTGGCAGGTCATGGGAGCACCCATCTCCTGGAGATCTCCAGAACTAGACATGCCACCCCAGGGGACACAGCAGCACCCCACCAACCAGCCCCTGCCTGTGCACCTCAACACAACCACTGGAACCAGTCGCATGATGATCATTTTTGGAAAGCCTGTTCCAAAATGCCTTCTCTAAACAAAACTATTCCACTGTGGTGAACAACTTTCCTTAAGCCACACAAAATTCCCTCCCTTGGGGAGCCTGAAGAGCTATGCTTGAATGTATAGGCATATTTAAATGTGTCTCAATCTGATTTTGCATGTGTTATTTGGGGATGAAAGTAGTGAATCACATCTGTTTCTTGAATATCTACACAGCAATATTTAACATTTTATTTGCAACACTTTTACTTTAATTAATTTAAATGCAACCCAGCCATCCAACTATTTCATATATAATCCCAGGGATTTAGTAGCAGGAAATGCAGCATCACAGCTAAATAATGGAAAGGTGGCAATATTAAAAACTTATCATAAAATTAATGTACTTAGCATATTAAATAGCTTTTCAATTTGACAAGAGATAACTATTTTATGTAAATGTGTATTAAAAATAATCCTGGTAGGTTGCCCAGCATTTACCAGTCTTATTCACACACTGCAATGAAGCCGTATCAGAACATCTTTTCCAAAGTCTGTATATCTGTATGCATTTATAGTATTATCAAGAGTAACTGCAATAGTTATATCAGTAGAATGAGATGCAATTTTCACAAGCAGTAAATGAAATAGCAAAGTTATTGCTAAGCCTTCAATAACCCTACAGTGTGTTCTGCTTAAAGTTATTACCAAATCCAATATACAATTAATATTTCAACTCCTTTTAGGAGTGAATTACATTTAGTCCTTCTTACAGCTGAGATTGCATTTGAGTGGCATCACAGAAATTTACAGCCAGAACAGACACTGAACTTGGCCCAGTTAACATTTTCCTATCATAAAATGATCCTTTCTAATACACTCCCCACCTCAAACCCCTTATGTTCACCCTACAACTGCTCATTGCTCCACAGCTTCCCTGCCGAGTCACTGCTGTCTGCTAAATGTTAACTTTTGAAGCAAGGAAATGTAAGGGGGTTTGGGTTTTCTTTTTGGAAGGTCACCCTGAAAATATATTCAAGAAGAGGTAAATTATTCAATTAAATACCAAGAAGAGAGAGAGGTATATGGAAATCCAGCTGTCAACATAGTCTCTGCTACTTAGAGATTACCAAGATTAAACTAAAGCAGGTGGCAACTCACAACTACTATTTATTTGTGTCCTGAACAAGAATAACACATTTCAGTGTCTCCCAGAGCAGAGATCCAGGGGCAGGAAGATGGAGATCCATTCTGAAGCACTTAAATATACTTACTGCAAACTCCTGGACCAAACCAAAATCATTACGTAAAAGGAGGACAAAAGAAGTGCTGAAGTCACCACAAAAAACGCTGCTGAAGCCAAATGCTTCATCTTGATTTTAAATCACATCAGGATTTTGCTCGTTGAGTATTTTGAAGATAAATGCTGACAAAATATTTTCATTTTAATGAGGTAACATCTTCCAAAGGGAAGCAGGAAAGGTTTGGCCAACACTGGTCAGAAGGCAGACTTGCTGCAGCTCCTGGCAATAGAGCAGCCCACAAGGCTGCAGAAGGACGCTGGACAACACAAGGCTTGGTGTTTGCTGTTGCCTGACCTGGACCTTCAAGAACTTACAAATGCCTCTGAGCCAGAGCGTTGGGGTAACACCTTGGGGAGCACCTAAGAGCTGGATTCTGACAGCTGACAGAGAGGACAAGCAAGGTAGGCAGCTCCCTACCTAAGAAGATAGGAAAAATGCCTGGCAATGTGACTTAAGGTGTCAGAGAAGACCAGCAAAATAAGAAATAAAATGCTGTGTAAGTTCTGTGTAAATGCTCATCTGTCAAAGATGCAGATGAGTGTGAAGTAGGAATTTGAAACAAATGCAACAGAGTCACTGCACTGTCCTCCCCTGGTGCTGTAGCCCATACTGCATTTTTGGAGCCACGGATCTGGAGGTACTCTTTTTCCAGAAATATACCTAGGACATATTCAGACTGCAAGAACTGATTTCCCTAAATATTAGTCCATCTGCAAAAAAATACCTGCAAGCACCTTCCTCTGGGGCCAAACACCTCAGTCTTCATATGACTGATTTAGCAGACTGGCTTCGTTACCCCACGATTCGTTTGGATGCCATGAACAGTCCTAGTTACCTGACAATCCATTTGCTAGATTCTTGGTCAAATGAAAATCTAGCAAAAAACTAAACTCGACTCTCTGCTAGGCCTGATCCAAGGGGGAGCCCATGCCATTCCAGATTATATTAGTAGCACTTCATAACAGAAATAGTAGCACCCCCTAATCCCAAACAGAACCAAAGTACTTTATATTTGAAAGTTATTTTAAAAAAAGACTAACAGCAGGGGGAAGAAAAGGTACACATTTTAAATTCCTATTTATGGATAGGCATCCATAGCAGGAAGGGCTCCAACACAACCCCTTCTTCTTGAGCGTGAAGCACTCACCTTCAAACCCTTTTCTCCAGATTTGAAAGCACAACGTGGTGTGGAGAAACCTAAAGTCAGGAGCCAAAGCCACAGGTCTGGTGGCCAGTCAAGGCACTGGGATTTGCTGTTCACTTGGCCCTACTTCTGGATCATGACAGGAACACGGGTTCCTCAGCTTATAACCAGCAGAGCACCAGTAACAACCAGATGTAGAATGAAAACTGGTATTCTTCACCCCACCCCATGTCCCACAGGTGTATCTAAGAGCAGATGACCAAACACCACCATTTATCTGCTGATCAGTGATGTCTAAGATTTCATCACTGGGATCTGCAATACTCCCTAAGGGATAGAGCTTTCCCTTGTTTCACTGCAGACTCAGGAAGCAGCAATATTATCATTATTTCAAAGATCAGTTGGGCATAACTTTAGATGCAAAACCAGTATCTGACACAAGGCTCTGACACATAACAGACTTTTTTCCTGTTAGCTTAATCTTTCACCATTCTTCCTGTAAAGACTGTTTTACCACAGAAACCAAAAGACTGTGCAGATCATAGGATCTCAGAAACAGTCCCAAGTGATGAATTCCTAACCAAAAACTAGCTATCCATCAGCAAACAGGACACAAGACTTAGCTTTCTGTAGCTCTCAAATCCTTCTTGATGAAAGCGTTTACTTCTCATAATGCATTATGCACAAAGAGAGGCCAAAGCTCCAAGAGGTAATCGACAGCTTAAAATAAAACCAGCTGTGGCAGGCTGGGAAAAGTAGGCTTGGAATGAGCACAACTCTGTTCACTTACTGCTTCTGCCAGGCAAAGTTTCCAATTATTGACTGGTGCAGAGGAAGTGGTTACCTTCGGGGATCACATCAGACTGTTAAAGTGTCTTCAGATTCACAGGCTGGCTGTGCCCTGCAGCAGGCATGAGCAGCTGCAACTGTTCTCTGACCTCTTCTGGGCACAAACTGCTGTAATCACCCCCAGGAAATTTGAGAAATCTGGGGATTTTCCATTTGTCATTACACTCTGATGTTGCAGTTGCTTCCTGAGGACAAGGCTGACATTAGGTTGCTTCTCTAAGTCCTCTGCATTGTCTAGGATTTTCAGTGTTTGACATGTAACCCGAAGTGAAAATGTTATGGAAGCTTTCTTACCTGGATCCATGTAATTTTTTAACAAATTACAATAAAAAAAAAATAGCATGACAAACTAT